TGACTCTTGTGGTTTGGGGTTTCGCTCCCATATATGCTAAACTGGCACAGCTTTGGTATAGGCGTATCGCAGAGGCATGCCGCCCCATAGCTTAACGAGCTCGTTGAGGCAACGGCTACGCGTGTCGAGGTGATCCGCTCGCGTTGATAGCCCTACTCSATAAGCCGGCTTGTCTTTGTTAATGAATGGACTACCGGCATCCTCGACTTTCCCTACGACGGCCAAAGGCGCCCTCTTGGTGTAATTCGATACCATGAAGTTCATCGCAATATCCTCGCAATTGACAGCCTCGTCAATCATCCTCCTCGCACCAATCGGCATCCGACACGTGTAATCGAACAAGTACTCGGTCTTTAACAGCATCACCTTCGTCAGAATCATGGAGTACTTTCTAGGCTCGCCCGACTCTTTCAGTGATTTCAGTGAATACGTCCACGAGCCATTCTCTGGATGGTACATGTGCGCGCGCGCGTAGTAYCCGACGATTCGCTGCGAKTTTTCCCGCCACACCTTGAACGCCAATTCCATTCTCAATCTGTCCACCAGGATGTCATCATCTATGATGGCAACCACTGAAGTGTCGATGAAACTTCGTGGAAGAAACCTGTTGTTCAGGCTGTTTGATCGATGGGGTACGACACGGATCGGCGCGCCATCGCTGTCGAACCTTAGGCTCGGTTCATCGAATCTAGACACGGGGAAGTCAGTATTCTGCCAGAGAACGTAGACGGCTCTGACRAACGGATAGCTCGACATTATCCGCGTGTTATTGCGGAGGATAGCAATCCGCTCGATGCTGAAACCGGGGACAAGTACAATCAACTGGTCATCCCTTAGCTCTGCCTCGGACGGGTAGAGACTCCTATTACATACCGACGAGGAGGACGTCAACGACGACCACGAAGAAGAAGAAGAAGAAAACGAAGAAGAAGAAGAAGAGGAGGAGGAGGAGGAGGAGGAAAAGGAGTAGCTCTCTTTTTGTYCTCTCCTCTCCGCAAGATTTCTATGCTCACTCATAGTCACAATCGATACGGAGAAGGTCGATCTGTCTAACGTCGTGAGAAGGGGAGGACAACAGTGCAGCAGCAGCGACCACGAGGCGAAGAAGMAGAACAGCAATACCACGAGCAAAATCTGTAGGGGAAGATACCCACCAGAGCCAGAGCTCCGTCCCGTAAGCTGACGAGAACAAGAGGATGGGGAAAGARATCGGGATGGAAGGAACGACGACTCTTCTGAGGACGCCATAGCTACCATCRCTTTGATCGAGATGGTGGTGGCCTCACCCCCTACCGTAGAAGTCTGATAGTCTGACAAGACCAATTTGTGTCCKKAGTGACAAGACCAACTTGTGTCCGGAGGATCACATCAGAAAGAATAGAGTAGTTCTGATGGAAAGATTTGCCGGTGGCATTTAATCGTTCGCCAAGGCAGGTTTTTTTTTTTTTTTTTTTTTTTTTTTTAAGACTGTAACCAAAGTAAGCTCGCTGCCTTCTGATCTGGACTTTATGTAAGGGAGGCCTGAGAATTTGTTGTAAAAAAAAAAAAAAAAAAAAGGGAGGCCCAAGAGCCCTTTTTGTTTTATTGCTGTTTTT